CCACAATAATCATAATGGAAAAAACTAAAAGCATCACAAATCATCACAACCCACAAGAATCATCCCAACATCACAATCACAAGTTCCCTATCACAAAAGCATCACAAATCATGAAATCATTACAATCCAAGCCAAAAGCATCATTCCTAGTTCCTCATCACAATTCATCAATCATCATAGATTCATAATCCCAAAATCACGAACTAAAATAAAACAACTTAATAAAACAACTTAAAGTCCAAAGATACCAACTTCCCAAGTACCCCTCATTCAAATATGAAGAAATTCAAAGATCATCAACTATTACATTATTAAAATCCTCGTTCTCTCTTCCATTATCTTCATCACCATCTTCAAGAATAGTTGGACAATGTGATGCTCCACTTGATGAAATTCTTGTGTAAGCACGTTCATCATTATCTACAAAGAAAATACATAAAATATAGTTAAAGAAAGATACAAATTTAAATCAAAATAAAGTAGCTTGGAAACCTTACCAACAACATAACCATGTAACCAATTACGAGTGCAAATAAGAGCTTGGACTTTTTCGGGGAGGATGCAACTTCTATATTTTGTTAGCACACGAGAACTAATAGAAAATGCCGACTCCGAGGCAACGGTGGTGATGGGAATGGCAAACACATCACATTCCATCAATGCAAGTGTCGGGAATCGATTCTTACAACTTCTCCAATACTCTAAAACATCCAAATCCTCATTAAATGAAAAATCAAGTTTTGTCTCTTCTAAGTAGAGATCCAATTGAGATTTCCCGGCACTAGTAACTTTTTGACTCTCAAATGCCACAATATCCTACATCAAACAAAAAAATTTATTAAAAAATAAGAGTCATTTATTAACTTTGTAGGCTACAAAGATTAAAAAAAAAGAAAGAAAAAAATTAACAATAAAACAATAAAAAATAATTAAATACTTACACTAAACTTTCTTTTTCCCTTGGAGATTGATCCCGATCCACTTTGCAAAGTAGGCATTGTAGATGGAGGCGGAAAAGGTTGTGTATGTGAAGAATGTGAGCCGGAGCGGGAGCTGGAGCCGGAACCGGTAGCATTCACATAATGCTCAAAGAGTTGATACAACTTTGCCTTCACATGTGAGAGAGCCTCTTCACATTTTACCGGATCGTGCTCAACCGTGCTATAAAAATACTCCAACACTTGAAATTTAATCCTTGGGTCAAGGATAGCCCCGAATGCAAGCACCTCTCTATATTGCCCCCAATACTTATCAAACTTGCCCTACATATTTAAGCACATGCTTCTTATAAGTTCGTCCTCATTTGAGGCATTCTCCATCAATATCTTTTGAATTCTCGAAACTTGCACAAAATACAGTTCGAAGTAGGATAAAAAGAACCGGATATCAAGTTGGTTGTCTCATAAAAAGGCTCAAGGAACTCACAAATTTTTTCCACTCTCGTCCATTCTTCACTTGAAGGGAAAACTTTGTAGTTCCTATCATGCAATTGAAGAGAAGCAAAGGCCCTTTTGTACTTAATTGCACTCTCTAAAATTAAATAAGTCGAACTCCAATGAGTGCTTACATCAAGTCTCAAGCCGATACTTGTATCAATATTAGCAACCGCATTCACCGAGTCTTCAAATTTTTTCATCCTACCTTCGGAGCCTTTCACATATTTAATCGAATCTCTAATTTTTTTCAATGGCTCATTTATTACTTTCACACCTTCTTGCACAATGAGATTCAATATGTGGGCACAACAACGAATGTGAAAAAACTCACCACCACACAATAAGCTATCATGCAAAGAAAGTTGCTCCTTCAAAATATCAACCATGCAATCAATGCTAGTAGCATTATCAAGAGTCAAGGAAAATATTTTTTTTTCTCAATCCCCCAATCCTTCAAAATTCAAATACTTTTGAAGCTAATTCGACTCCTGAATGAGGAGGAGGCATAGAAGCAAAACAAGTATTTTACTATTCAATTTCTAATTCTCATCAACAAAATGGGCAGTCAAACAAATATATCCCTCACTCGTGCAAGCAGTCCACACATCAGAAGTTAAGCAAATCCTACTACCAAGCTCACACAAAATTTGCTTAAGCTTCAATTCTCCCTTGTATACATTTTGTTAATGTCAGAAACAAGAGTGTTTCTAGAAATACAAGGAATATCGGGATTTATATAATTCATCCAAGCTCTTATGCCATCATAATCAACAAACGGAATGGCAAGTCATGCTTAATAACAGCAACAGCTAACATCTCACGTGAAGTCTTGGGATTAACCTTTCTAGATCTTATCTTTCCATCTTTATCAACAAGCATTTGCCCCACATCATTAAACTTAATTGCTTTGCACACTTGAACATGACGCCTCAAAGTAGAAGTTCCATACCTTTTACCGCCAGCTTTGTACTCTTTAATACAAGCTTTACATTTTTCTTTAAAAACTTTATCTAGCCCCGGCACACCTCTATCAAAATAAACCCAAACATCAGATCCAACTTTATCCACAATATTATTCTCATTCGATTGGGAATCAACAACATCATTTTTATTGTCATCCAAATCTATACATTCTTTCTGTGAAGCAGAAGAATCCATCACACTTCAACACCTAAAAAAAAAAAACAACAATCAAAACAAAGTTCACAAATTTCACAAGTTCACAATATATACAAAACAATTTCAGCAATAAGTTCACATTAGGACCAAAAGAGCAGATGAATGTTGTAACATATCAACAGATAACTTGAAAACTTGCTGTGATTGATTTTTTTATAGATTAACATCAACAACTTTATAACTTGCAACATTTTATTTTAATAAAATTCCCTCAATCCTCATACCTTTCATGGAAACCAGAATCATTAGAGTTACGTCAATTCAACTTATCTTCATAAACATTATATTATATTAGGGTCCAATTTCAGTAAAATTTCAAGACCGGAGAGCAATATACCTTCAGGGCTGACTGGAAATAAACTCAAAAAATCAGAGACGGTGAAAATAGTGTGATGTAGGAGAGTCGAGACTGGGAACTTCGAGTTGAACTTCGAGGCGGAGGAGGGCGGAAGAGCTCAACTTTATGGGTCTCTAAGGTGGACTGGAGGCCGGCGGAGGAGGTTGGATGCGGTCCTTGGAGGCCAACGCTGGAGACCGAGCCCGGAGGCGGAGGCCGAGCGTGGGCGGAGGTCGGAGAACCGGAGGGGAGAGGCGTGAGGAGGCAGAAAAGCGAGCGACGGACGAT